CCCCTGAGCACCCTACGCGGACGCCGTAGTGAGCACTGAGTGGCTCTAAGACAGCCGTTCCTCGGGTTAAAACTAGAGAAATTGCTCCTGGCTGCACGTGGCCATCACTATTGCTGCTCACCGAGTACTTCTCCCTCTCCACCTTCTGGCCACATGACAGAACCGGACCCCTGGGTCTCTGGTTGAGTAGGCCCATGTTCTGGCCAGTGAGTTCTATCACTTCCAAGTTTAGTGTGTACTCGCTCATGTGAGACCCTTCAGAGCTGTTTTTCATTTGCCACAAGATCAGGGAGTGGCTGCCCATCAGTTGTGTCCAGGAGGGAGGTGCTGACCCCACCCGCTGAGTCCCCAGGTGCCTCTTATTGGGCATGCAACATGAACAGAAAACATACTACAGTGGGGCCTTGACTTATGAGTTTAATTTGTTCCAAGACCGAGCTCGTTAACTCAAATTACTCTATCAACTCAAAGCAAAATGTCGGCTGAGAGACAGCTGGTATCTCAAAAAACTCGTTAGTTGGGACACTCGTAAGTCAAGGCCCCACTGTATGTAGCCTAGATCCATTGAGATTTGGAGATTTTTATTGTTACTGCAGCATCATCTACATTATCCTGAGTCGTACACACACCATCCGGAAAACAGCCTTCTGAGGGTGGGAGAAATCAGAGGGACTGAATGATGTAACCTATGATTTATGTAGCCTAGATCCATTGGGATTTGGAGATTTTTTATTGTTGCTGCAGCATCATCTACATTATCCTGAGTAGTACACACACCATCCAGAAAACAGCCTTCTGAGGGTGAGAAATCAGAGGGACTGAATGATGTAACCTATGGTTCCAACAATCAGAGAAGAGATGTAGGAACAAGTTCCCTCTGTTTTGACCCATGCCTTAACCCTTTTAATATCAATAACTTTTGTTTCTAATTTTTTTAGCATTTTCCTATATCTACAAAAATCAGTTAGCAAAGCAACCCTCCCATTGCTCAGCGACTTCAGACCTTAGCAAACTCACTGCTGATTCCTGTATTTAGATCCGTACACAATCAGCTCCCCCGTGTGGTGTTTAGGTAAATGACATCTACTGTAGGAAAGCAGGGCCTTGTATCCAACAATGCTGCACCCTCTTGAGAGGGGGACTGACTGTACCTGACGAAAGCAAGCACATTTAGCTTTGCTAGGGCATCCAATCACAAGCGAGAAGGAAAATGAGCCTGAAATGTGAGTCAGGACACTCAGGAGTGAGGGCCACCCTTGTGGTGTTTAGGTAAATGACATCTACTGTAGGAAAGCAGGGCCTCATATCCAACAATGCTGCACCCTCTTGAGAGGGGGGCTGTACCTGAGGAAAGCAAGCACATTTAGCTTTGCTAGGGCATCCAATCACAAGTGAGAAGGAAAATGAGCCTGAAATGTGAGTCAGGACACTCAGGAGTGAGGGTCACCCTTTTATTTATTCATTCAGCTGTTTACAGAGCTGTACTGTGTACCAGCTATTGACTGGGAAGCTTAAACAACAAACATTTATTTCTCACAGTTCTAGAGGCTGGGAAGTCCATGATCAAGGTGCCAGCAGATTCAGTGTCTGGTGAGGGCTCAGATACTAGGTCTTGTTAGCCATCTTCTCACTGGGTCATCACTTGGTAGAGCAGTGAGGAAGCTGTTTTATTTTTTAATAGGGCACTAATCCCACTCACGAGGGCTCCACCCTCATCACTTAATCCCTCCCAATGGCCCCACTCCCATCACATTGCAGGGTAGGATTTCAACAAATGAATTCGGGGCGGGGTGGGGGGTGGGGGGGAAGAAGGGAGGGAGAAGGTGGGCACAAACATTCAGTGTATAGCCATTGCCACTGAGGGCTCAGATACCAGGTCTTGTTAGCCATCTTCTCATCGGGTCATCACTTGGTAGAGCAGTGAGGAAGCTGTTTTATTTTTTAATAGGGCACTAATCCCACTCACAAGGGCTCCACCCTCATCACTTAATCCCTTCCAACGGCCCCACTCCCATCACATTGCAGGGTAGGATTTCAACAAATGAATTCGGGGCGGGGTGGGGGGTGGGGGGGAAGAAGGGAGGGAGAAGGTGGGCCGACCCCTTTGGTAGTCGACCATTGCCCTGAGTAAAAAAATCATGACTCCTTGGAGAAAACACTGAGTTTTCAGCTGAGGCAGAAAATGGACAAAAGATCCTAGAAAATACTGTTATGCCAGAAAGTACAAAAAACTCAAAGACTAACAGTGAGGTCATGTTCATCTTTAACCTGTCAAAGGGCTCCCACTGCCAAAAACGGGGCTATTTAAGCATCAAAAAGAATATTAATACCACATTGCATGCTTAAAAGCCATGCAGTTGCAGTAATATTTTTAAATATCACCGTTTTATAGAAGGATGCCAGTAGAAGATATAGAATTAGAGGATCATCATTTTTTCCAACTATTATGCAAGGATCATGTTGTATATTAATTTCCTGTTGCTGATGTAAGAGATTACTACAAACTTAGTGGCTTAAAACAGCCACATACGTCTGAAACTTATTTTCAAATGGCTTAAAAACTGGGTGCATATGTGACTTCACATATTTGCTCCTTATCCCAGTTTCCAGCACACAACTCCTAAAACCCTTGGCACATCTTAAGTGATAAGAGCAATAAAGGTGTCTTGCTATTCATAACAAACCCCTTTCAACCAGACCTCAGCTTATAGTCATGAGGTGACTTCTGAAAAGCACCTAAGTATGGGCAGCTAGCTCCCAGAACCATGTGATTACAGTTGGGGTTCTCTAACCTCTCCCTGACCTCTCGAGGGGCAGAGTGGGGCTGGTGGTTAAATCAACAGCCAACAGCCAATGATGAAATCACTCACCTATGTAATGACTCCCCCATAACACCCCAGAAGGATGAGGTTCAGAGAACTCCCAGGGTGAACACTTGCAGATGCGGGGTGTGGCCTGCTCAGAGAGGGCATGGAAGCCCCACACCCCTTCCCACATACTTTGCCTGATGCATCCATTCCATCTGGCTGTTCCTGAGTTATATCCTTTTATATAAATGGGTACTCTATAAGTAAAATGTTTCTCTGAGTTCTATGAGCTGCTCTAGCAAATTAATGAAACCCCAGGAAGGAGTCATTGCAACCTCCAGCCTATAGCCAGTTGTCAGAAGGCCAGGTGATAGGTTGGACTTGTGATTGGCATCTGAAGGGAGGGGGGAATCTTGTAGGACTGAACCCTTAACCAGTGAATCTGATGCCATCTCCGATAGTGCCAGAATTGAGTTGAATTGTAGGGCACTCAGTTGTTGTCCCAGAATTGCTTGACATTTGGGGGGAACCCCTCCCCAACACACACTCTAGAACAGAGGTTCTCAACCTGTGGGTCGCGACCCCTTTGGTAGTCGAACGACCCTTTCACAGGGGTCACCTAAGACCATCCTGCATATCAGATATTTACATGACGATTCATAACAGTAGCAACATGACAGTTATGAAGTAGCAACGAAAATAATTTTATAGTTGGGTCACAGCATGAGGAACTGTATTTAAAGGGCCAGAAGGTTGAGAACCACTGCTCTAGAATCTAGTACCAGATTAGTCTGTGTGTGTATATAGAGATGAAACAATATGGCAGAACATTAACCTTTGTTGAATCTAAGGGGAGAGTATATAGTCATGTATCATAGCTATGGCAGTTAATTTTATCTGTCAACTTGATTAGGTCACAGTACTGAGATATTTGGTCAAACGTTAACGTTGGCTGTTTCTGTGAAGACACTTTTCAGCAGATTAACATTTGAGTCAGCCAATTTTGAGTAAAGCAGATTACCCTCCATCTTGTGGGTGGGCCTCATTAATCAGTTGATGGTCTTAATAGAAAAAGACTAATTTCCCCAGAAGGAATTCTCTAGACTTGCTTCAGACTTGAACTGCATGTCAACTCTTCCCTGGGTCTCCAGCCTGCTGGCTCTTCTGCAGATTTTGGACATACCAGCCTCCACCATCTTGTGAGCCAATTCCCTAAAGTAAATAACCAATTGCCCAATATGTACGGGTCTTTTTCGAAATAGTTCTGCCCACTGGTCCTTAACATTTCTTATAAAACAGGACTACTGGCAACAAATACATCTTTTCCCTGTCTGAAAAATTCTTTCCTCACACTTTTTCTGAAGGGTGTTTTTGCTGAATATAGAATTGTAGGCCAATGGGTTATTTTCTTTCAGCATTTGAAAGGTATCATGCCAAGGTCTCTAACCTGCAGTTTGAGAGAAGAAAAACGCAGTCATTCTCTGTATAGAATATGTTTTTCACTTCTCCAGCTGCTCTTACAATTCTTTCTGGTTTTCAACACTTTATGATGTACTCAGTGAGGCTTTGTTATCCTGCTTGCTGAATTTCTTGGATATGTATTTATAATTCTCATCAATTAAGAAAATTTTGACATTATTTCTTATGTATATATTTATCTTCCCTACCCCAACTTCTAGGACTCCAAGTACAGGTATGTTAAAACACTTGATATAACCTCACAGGTGGCTGACAGACTGTTCTATGTGGGGTTTCTTCTCTTCGTGTTTTATTTTATTTATTTATTAAAGATATATTTTATTGATTTTTTATAGAGAGGAAGGGAGAGGGATAGAGAGTTAGAAACATCGATGAGAAACATCAATCAGCTGCCTCCTGCACACCTCCTACTGGGGATGTGCCCGCAACCACGGTACATGCCCTTGACTGGAACTGAACCTGGGACCCCCCAGTCCGCAGGCTGACACTCTGTCCACTGAGACAAACAGGTCAGGGCTTCTCTTTGTGTTTTAGAAAGCTTCAAATTCACTGTGCAATGACCAAGCCATAATTCCATCCATTCCTCATCTAGCTAGTGACCAGAGGTAATCAAATAGCAGCACTGATCTTAAAAAATAAACCTTATACATTCCTGAATTATTGGTTTAAATGTATTAACCATAAATAAAATACTTAAGAATTAAGTTAGAAACGTGTAGTTTTTTCAGTACTTCTTTATTGTCTATAAAATTAGTTTGTGTATATATACACATATGTGTAACGTTACAGATGATAGTGGATGTGACACCAACAATGGGCTGTTGACCTCTCTTATGACAACGATCTGTGGAAATGCTGTATTATGTCATGTCAGTATACTGCAAGGGGTATTTCAGAATAATGCAAAAGTCATCCACAGACTTGACTAAGTGAAGATCAACTGATCCAAATTCTTCCTTAGTTTTTCACAGCATTTGCTGAAAGTTCAAATAAGCCGATTTTCCCAAGATTATTCTAGTAACTTGGCGTGATCAATCCGTGCAATGATCCAGTTGGGCTTCACTCCCTGTGTAAACTCCCTCTGAAACCTAGGGAAGAAGTGCAAACACCAGTCCCAATCTTCTCAGGTAACTCATTTGCAAGTGTAAGAGGCAGTTTTTAGGAATAAGCTAATGGTCAATGGTAAATAAAAATCAAAGAACTTTACCAATTCAATCACAAAAATATCCCCACAAAATCAGAAGTACATTCTCAACTAAAATAAGTATTTTTAATGGAAGGATCTACACTCCAACATCTGCCAATCCCGGAGAAACTGGGGTATTATTGTCATTAAACACTAGCTACAACATATGCCTAATATGAGGGGAAATAAATTAGACTATTTTGCTGAGCACAGCACTTTAGTGTTATCTGGCTTGTATACATTAGATCAATCTTTAAAATAACAGTGTTTAATGAGCTGCCCAGGGTCTTAGCAGGGAAGATCAGAAGAACCAAAGATCAGTATTGATTATAGTGTTCTTTAATTATAAATGATATCTTAAAAGAGAAAAATTCAGATTTCAATTAAATAAGTATTTAAATATATAATTATGTCTCCATTGACTTGCTTGACTTGTTCACTGCTCCCAATTTTATTAGCAAAAAAATGCACAATAGTGTCTCTCTTAAGTAATTTGCTAACCTAGTAGACAGTGCTCCTTAAGGGCAAGAACCCTTTAACTTTGCATGTGAACCCCTACCAGAGTACTTGCAAATGGGAGCTGGTCAATAAACGTCTAGTGAGTGGACAGTCCATGTGCCAATTACGGCAGATTTTATTTTCCAACAAGGGCCATAACCTTATCTCCCACCCAACAGGCTCTTCTGCAGGTGGCCTTGTGGGTGCCCCATAAGGAGGTGTCTCCCCAGGTGCTTTACCTGTGCAGGTCCTGTGACTGCTCTGACAAGTGGACTAGGGTGGAAATGATGTGGTCCCAATCCTGGGCACAGCCCTCTACTGCTTTAGATCTTCTGACTTCTGCCTCTTGAATCCCAACCACCATAAAACACGTGACCAGCCTGAGCCCACCACAAGCCCAAGCCACGCAGAAAGGCCTGGGAGAACTCGACATTATTGGAGCGGCCAAGGAGCACCAAGGTGACGCCCGTCAGTGAAGAAGCCACTGCGGAAATGAGCCCTCCAGCCCCCGTCACCCAGCTGAGGCCAGGCCCAGGCGAAGCAGAGAATCCCCATAGCTCAGCCTGTCCAAACTCCTGACAGTGAAACAGCAGGCAACAGCAAAGGGTGGCTGGAAGCTATTGCGTTTTGGAGTGGTTTGCAATGCAGCCATGGAAGCTGAAACACTGAGCAATTACGTTCAGAAATATTACTGCCTTTCCCGCTTCCGAACATTGCCATGTCATGGCCAGTAGTCATTATGTCTTCTTCTCTTTATAAATAACTTGTCAAATTTCAACCCTTTCTCCCTAAAGCTCCGTTAGTTTTCTGATCGCAGTATGGCATGTGACAGACTTACTCATAGCTTGCACTAAGAAGTTGTTTAGTTTCCACGTTCTGATTCCCCAACTTAACCTGGAACACACCCGCTCCGCTTAAAGTTTCACTGGGGATGTTGGCACTGGTTAGATACCAAAAGCACATCAGGATGTTAACAAACTTCCTTCCTTAGGGGAAAAACATACACATACACACACAAATACAAATCACAATAGTCTATCATCCACATATCCAAAATGAAATAGAAATTGGCAGTAGTTACACAGTTGTTACAGATCAAATTTTGCACTTCTAGTCTAACTTAACATACCTATATTGCTACCTTTTTATTTTCTTAGGGTAGTGTCGGTTTTGCCCTCTTCTTGCATTGTAATAATAATAATAGTTACTACTTACTGAGCATGTACTATTTACTAAGTATACTATGTAGTTTGTTGTCAATTTGTAGCATCATCTAAAACTGTAACAGATATTTGTTGTCAAACCAAAAAATGATGGGGAAAACCACTTCTTGCTACTAAGTAATTAACCCCAAATGCCAGCAAGAAGAAAGACTTCTATTCCACCCTAATTCACTTTGCTATGCCTAGTGATTACGACAATGACTTGTGTAAAAATCAGGTAGTGGCTACTGTGCTGAGATGCAATCTGAAATATCAGGGAAGAAAAAATATTTATGAAAAACATGTAAAAGTACCGTTACAAATGTTTCAAATTAACATGTGTATGAAAATGAAAAAATCTTAACTATTAAGAGTCCAAATCAGAACTGCCTTGGGAAGTGTGTACGAAAGGCTAGATCTCCTACGTGCCTGGCACATAATACATATGCAAAGATTTGTAGCAGGAATAAATAAGTCAATAAATTTTCAGAAATGCTGTAAGGAAAAAGTATGCATTGGGCAAGATGATGAGCCAGATAACCACCAACGTTCCTTTCAATGTTTTTCATTGTCTCCAATTTGGGAGTTCTACAGTTGATCATACTTTCAAAAGTTTTTAGCTGATATTATTTACTTTTTCTTTCACTCCTTACTCCTTCTACGTAACATACAGCTGGACATTTAAAATGCTCAATTGTTTCCTTCGAGTTAGGAAATCTGACATACAAATATTTTTAATTGCGATATGGGAGCAGCTTGTCCTAGACCAGTGATGGCAAACCTTTTGAGCTCGGCGTGTCAGCATTTTGAAAAACCCTAACTTAACTCTGGTGCCGTGTCACATATAGAAATTTTTTGATATTTGCAACCATAGTAAAATAAAGACTTATATTTTTGATATTTATTTTATATATTTAAATGCCATTTAACAAAGAAAAATCAACCAAAAAAATGAGTTCACGTGTCAGAGGTCATAGGTTCGCCATCACTGTCCTAGACAGACTATTTTCATCAACGTGACGATGCTCTTGCCTGTGAATTAAATAGTGGTAGGCAAAGTTCCAGATAAAAGGCATAAGAAACTACTACCATATGGCAGCTCTTCCAGAGCGAGGCCTTTAAAGAATGAACATGCTATTTTATCTGAAGTCCCATGAGTATCCATTACTAACAAACGTCCACTATGTCATGATCTTCCATCCGGTAGTGTAGTTTACCTGGACAACCGTGGGTCCCTGAAAGCCGCCTACGCTCCAGCATTACCTTTGTCGTCGTAGTAAATGGAGATGTCTCCTGTGGAGGTGTACACAATCTCATCCATGTCAGCAGCAAGAGCATCTCTGTGGCTGTCAGGAAGTGAAGTAACCTTTTCTTTCAACACAAGCAGCAGCTAAGTTTGGAAAAAGCAAACTGTAATTCACCTCTCAAGTTTTCAAAAGCTTTTCAAGAAACTCAATAAACTGTTCATGGAATGAATTTTTCTATTCCTATTTTTAAATTTACTACCATATTTACTCAGCTTTAAAAGCAAGGCTAAAAAGCATCTAATCATTCAACCAGGTCTGTGGTCGGCAAACTGCGGCTCAAGAGCCACATGCGGCTTTTTGGCCCCTGGAGTGTGGCTCTTCCTAAGCCTTAGGAGGACCCTAATTAAGTTAATAACAATGTACCTACCTATATAGTTTAAGTTTAAAAATTTGGCTCTCAAAAGAAATTTCAGTCATTGTACTGTTGATATTTGGCTCTGTTGACTAATGAGTGTGCCAACCACTGAACTAGGTAATTTATAACAGAACATTTTATATAAGAACAATCGAGGGATGTCACATTTACTTACTTATGCCTTAGTAGCAAGTCATTCAATGCTTTTATCCAAAAGGAATGATACAGGGACTCTGTTTTGGCTGATGGCACACAGTATTTTTAAGCATATATAAGGATAATGTACTGTATATATTATTTGGTTGCAAGAAAATAATACATTTATTTTTATAGGAAAATTAAAAGTATACTTTACCTCTTTGGTCACAAGTTCTTCCAGCAGATCAAATTTACACTGTGACAGCAATCTGGACACATGAGCAAAAGCCTTAAAAAAATAAAATAGTGGAGGGAGGGCGGTGATTATTTCAATGCTCAAATTTAAATGGCCAGTGTGACAGACTGTTTTATGATAAAGGTGATAAACAACATCAAGCACTAATATACCAACGTCAGGCACAACTCCTTCTAGTTGGCTGGCTTTTCTTTTCTCATATGGCCTCCCCACATATACAGTAGTAAGTAGGCAGACTGCTAACTATGTATCCACTCTCAGGACCTGGGAAAAGACAGTGCGTGGTGTACACACTAGGACCTGGATAAAAATCCTCCTACATATTTCCTTTTAAAATAATGATGGAGTAATCATCCATTCTGAGTGTTACACGACTCCCCCTACCTCCTGCTTAATCAAACATAAACAGCAGCTGAGACGCAGTAAAATCTAAACTGTACTGAGAGTCCAAAGATCTGGGATGTAGTCTGAGCCATTAAGCTAGGTAAGCAGGTTTGGGAAAGTGGCAGGAAAGATAACGCGTTTGCAGTCCAGGACAGTGGATTTCCACTCTGAAGTATGAGGTCCCATTTTACAGAGGGGAGAGCAAACTCAATCCTCCACATCCTAGCAGTGAGACGTGAAGCTGTGCAGAAAACTCCACCTGTCTTCAAGTAAGGAGGGAGGCAAGGAAACTGACAAGTGCAAGCATGATGCCAGGTAAGGACTGGATGCTGGGGGAGCAAACGGAAGAGCCACCTAAGCCACTCTGGGGGGGAATGGGGGGGCAGGGGCTTCCTGCAGCAAGTACCATCCAGGGTGAAATCTGAAGAATGGAGGAGAGATGACGTTACCTAATTATTATGGGGGTTGGTTGTCAGAGGAATCAACTCTGGGATTAGAGGTTTGGAACTTTCAGCCCCACCTCCAGACTTTCAAGGAGGATACAAGTGCTGGGGATTGAGTTCATCATCAAGAGCAACGTCTTAATCCATCACACCTATGCAATGGAAGCTCAATAAAGACCCTACAGGAAGGACTAGGAGCCACCGGGCGGGTGACCCTCGGAGATGCGGGAGATGCGGTGCACTGGAGAGGGCATGGACACGCCCCCCTTCCCACATACTCTGCCATGTGCATCTCCTTCATTAGGCCGCTCCTTTCAAATAAACTGGAAAGAGCAAGTGATGTGCTTCCCTGAGTTCTGTGAGCCATTTAGCCAATTACTGAGTGATGTGGGAACCCCGATTTGCAGTTAGTAGATCAGAAGTGTGGGTGTGTGTGTGGAGTGAAGGCAGTCTTGTGGGAACAGGCCCTAACCTGTGGACTCGCCATTCAACCCGGGGAGCCGGGTAAGAGTTAGTGCCAGAACTGCCGTAAGGGGTCTGATAAGGAATATCTCACCTGAAGAGTCTTCGAGGAAAAAGCCCTCTTTTTCATAGAGAAGGCTACAATGGGCAAGCACGATGCAGGGAAAAACACAGTGTATGGTTAATGGGACTTGATGGCAGCAGCACTAGGGAAGTTATCATGTCACATAGACCTATCAGCGGACAGACCTTGTCTTTCTCATTTTGCGGAAAACCACGCTCAGAAAAGCGAGCGATGTGACCTTCAAGTGGCAGAAATGGGCTCTGAGTCCATTTCTGATTCAAAGCCTGCGGAGAGTGAAGAGGTGACCGGGGGCTTCGCGCCGGTGTCTCCATGGCACCGAGGACCTCGCGGCCACCGCACAGACGCGGAAGCTCAGTTCGCCGTCGAGAAGCGGCCGGAGGGCTGCGCGCAGGGCCGCTCCCCCCGGTGACCCGGGGCCCGTGGGGACACGTCTCCGCCCAACACCTGGACGTGCCCGGGTCCCCGCGGGGCATGAACAAACCTGCTTCGCCCCCTCGGAGAATTCCTTGATGCTGAACTCCTTGTCGAAATAGGCCCAGATGAGGAAGGCGAGGATCCGCGTCCGGACCCAGTTGACGGGGTTGGAGAAGCCCAGGATGAGCATCTTGGTCTTCTGGCGCTGCTGGGGCTGCTCCTCGGAGCTGTA